AAGCCACTCAAATTTTGGCCAAGACTATGATAGAGAAAATAATACTTGTTTTTTTAATGGAAAATCATTTTTTTTTTTTGGAATTTAATTCGTTGAAATTTCCATTCTTTAAATTAAATGTATGTAACAATCTTGTTATTCATCAAAAGGTATAAATCTAAAATTCTAGCTCAGCTTTTTTTGAATTCCCAGTTTTTTTTTTTAGTACATTCTTTTTGCTGTAAGAGGTTGGACCAAGATTAGATCAGCTTAGGTATCTTGACATATTGTCTGGTGATAAAAATCACAATGATTGAGTGAATATAATAACACAAAGAGAAATTCCCTTGGGAGGGAGGAGGAGGGGGGTGAGTTAAGGGAAACCAGAAAGTTTTTCGCCAACTCAAATATTGAAATGTAAATAAAACTAAAATATTCAACAGCGCGAAAGCGGACCGTATACATATTTAAAAGTTAACGACGTTTTAATAAAACAAAATATGTTTTACTAATTTCAATTAACTTAATAACACTGTATTGTCGTCGGTCTTTATGCAAACTCTTTACCCGTACATGTTATACAAGGTGATCAAGTCGTTCAACCGGTTTTCCAGTTGACAAGTGTGTACATTTTTAGTGCACCTATCGATGATTGTTGGCCGGTAATGGGTTAACCAGTTAAATGTTTGACCCCAATAAAGTGCAACTTTCGAGTTAAAAAAAAAAAGGCAAGAAATGTTCAATACTTTGAACATTTTCACCTTTATCCAGTTTACCTAACCTGACCTGTTTTTCGATTGATTAAAAAAAACACTTTTCTCTCGCCGTGATACTAATAATATTTTAATATACTTTAGCCGGCCTTTGGTTGTTCGCCCACGCCTATCCAAGTGCCTCTCGCCCCTCTTCCCACGGGAAACTCGCTCCGGCGGTCGTGTAAAACGCTAATTAAAACATTTTTGTGCCTTTGGCAACATACCGGCGACGCACTTATCCCTTTGTGCGCTCACACAACGGCCGCTCGTTTATACCTGCCCTTTACCTGCCGGCGTGTTGAGGGGTGGTGCTGTGCGAAGGGTTTGCACGGCAAAAGGGTTGAGAGAGAGAGTGAGAGACGGGGAGGAAGGACGTGCACACTCACAAACAACACTAGTTTTGTTATTATTTTCCGCCAAGGTAAAACTCAACTCCGGCATTATCTAATAAACTAATAATCTCTCTCTTGTAAAACGGCCCCCGTAAAGTTAGCAGCGCAGCCACTGCGACGCTCCGTCACTTTCTTGAAACCTTCCAGCCGGCTATAAGTAGTAGGTACCTACGTAGTCTCTCGCTTCCTATATATGTATACATATATATATATATATATATTGTTTTAATTAATTACACGCTAACGGCGGACGTGCTCTCGTGTTTTGTACCCGTGTAGACGACGTGTTTATTCGAAAGAGTAGACAGAGAGAGAGAGAGAGAGAGAGCGGGAGATAACTGGAAAGACTTTATGCGCTAATAAAGTGTTTTGCTACCGCGTCCCTACCATCCTCACCCCCTTCCGGAAAAATTGATGCACGGATGTAATTTAATTTAATTATATTATACCGGGCAAATCTTTTAATCGCTATAGTTTAGACAAGACGACTGTCGATAGCCCCCTGTTATAGGTGCAGTAGCCCGGTAGAGCTGCAGCTGTGTTGTGTATTGATAATATAATATTATTGTCGTCGACTTGATAAATTGGACTGGCAAACGCCGGGAGAACAGCGAGGACCGGATCAAAAGTAAACAGCTGTATAAAAGCTCACAATACCATTATTGTAAAACCAATATACAGCCTCTCAGCTGCCAAAAGCCAATCACATACACCTACATCATATACGTTTCACTCTTCATGATAATACTATTATTATTGTATCATACAAAATCGCCAAACATTTCAAACACACACACACACACACACACACATTGTTAAACGTGTGTAATTTATCAAATCCATAACAACATTAATCGGTCCGATAAAATACAACCCCTCTCGCACACACACACACACACTATCATACGAGTGGCCGGTGTTTTCATGATTGATTTCGATGGAAATTTTCAGAGGGTCTAGGGGAAGGCATAAAAAGGGCATGGAGGGATGGCGGTTTAGGAATATTAACAGAATTCACTTTGTCGACCGGTCGGGTGAAAAATGACCGCCGTCGGTACGCGATGCGCCTCGTCGTGACAACCGTATACGGAATATTATAAATCATCGGTCGGTGGCGGTCAAAACCTCTTCTTTTTTTTTTTTTTTGGGGGGGGGGGGTGAGAGTATAGGGGCCAAGGGACTATTGAATTCACCTGTGTGCACTGCCGAGTGCAACCGGCACGCACAGTGAATTCGTTGCTTATACGGCTGTTGCTTGTCTAGTTTGAGAACCAGCTCAAAGCGATTTTTGAAAACGTCCACAAACAACTATAAATGCCATTTCTTCGGATGGGCGATTTTAAAACCAACCAAGACTTTCCCGGCACAGTTTGAGTTGGTTATAATCTTTGAATGTCGATATTCAATAATATTTATTTACATACTTCCCATGTAGTACACACAGTGTGGCCATATAAAAAAAACACGACACGTGTTACGAATGTCTTTTGGCTGGTCAATGTGTTACTTGAGAATTCAATTGAAAACTTCAACTGTTTAATTATTCTGCTATTGTATTTTTATCCGTATTTAATTCAAATATACTTAATTAGTTATTGTACATTGTGGGAAATTAAATGCTAACAATAGTGCTCTAAATTATTATGACTTGTTCATGGTCACTGTGTTACCTAAGAATTTAATACTGTAATTATGCCATTATATTTTTATTCGTATTTAATTAAAATATTATACTTTACTAATTATTGTATATTGCGACAAATCAAATGCTATAATAGTGCTCTAAATTATGATTTGTTCATGGTCACTGTGTTAATTAATAGTTAAATTTAAAATTTCAATTGTAATTCTGCTATTATACTTGTATCCATATTAGTAAAATGTACCTATAGGTTCATTGGTGGGTTATAGATATTTCTGAATTACAAAAAAAAAAACCAATTGTAACAGTATTATTTTGAAGATACAGACTTCATTAGTTTGACAAAATCCTGCTTGAAAAAAATGTCAGGATAAAGTCAAATTTGTCATCCATACAATCTATCCAATCTTTTATGAATCTATACACCAAAAGTATTTTAGTGTTTTTCAATGGTTGTCATAGAGTTTGTCAATATTTTAAAATCATGTTTTGGTAGGCGTGGACATTTAAAAAAAATATTGTTGACCAAAGTGTTGTTAAAACACAATTGAAATCATACAATATAAAGTATAAGTCAAGCAATGGAAAACCACATTCTGAAAATAATATTTTTTAAGCATTTAATCTTCTGCCAAATCAAAATGTTTAAATCTTTATAAATTTAAAATTTTAGAAACATAGTAATAGTTATTATATTTGTAGCTGTACATGGGAATCAACTATGCACCGTGTACCGTTTTTGAGCTATCGTGCGTGTCTAAAGTCTAATAAATAAACATCTGAAACGTTATATGTATGCAATTCAGTGCAAATCGAACGTACAGGCCATAAAAAAAAAACTGAATTATGCAATAATATACGGTATAACGATGCAGCCTTTGCGCACAGTAACATTAATACGGTGTATTTGCTTGGCTTTTGTCGATGATGTCTGATTTTGGTTTTTTTTTTTTAAATATTTCATACAAAACGGATCACGTACACAAAGAAAAATTGCACTCAGGTATATACCTCCGGGACGTGTAGACTGTGTATAATGTATACTTATGCATAATATATATACCTATCACGATTGTGTCTCTATTCAGACCGAATAATTTTTCCTTTTTTTTTTTTTTTACTCTGCAAGCGAGAAGCAGAGTTCGGTGCCTAATTTGTCACAGTTATCGCACATCGAATTTTTCATAATAATCACAGCACCGAGGAGACGCCGGAGACGGAGAAGAAGAAGAAGAAGTAAATAAATAGGCAGGGAAACAGAACGCCGTTATACTTAAGTCAAAGTTTTTTTCCCCTTTATATTATTGCCATCCCCTCGTTGTACACGGCGTTTTGCGTTTTGATATTCCGGACGGGGCTTTTATCTTTTTGCCGGGCAACAACAGGTCTTCCGGCTGAATACTAAATAAGGACACTTAAACGCATTAAAGTCGTCTTTGCTTCTCTGGAAAAAAAAAAAAAAAAAAAAAACAGGAAAGAAATTCCATATTTTTTCTTCTCCCCGCGACAACCAAACGTTGTTTGATATTATTATATTCTTAATGTCGCACGTCAGACTCGGCATACCAAATGTCTTATACGGTCTTTAAACGGAGCGCAAAAAAAAAAAAAAAACTGAAATAACAAACCGATCGTAAACGGGGGTGGGGACGGAGAGGGGTAAAAAAAACGAAAAATAATAACAACACTACCCAGACCCGCGTGATCGTGGCCGGGGGGGGGGGGGTGGAGGAGTCGAGCAAAATGTATATAAGTTTAGTCTAGTCTGGTCGGACTTTATAAAACGACCGCAGCCGGCTATAACGTGCTTTATACTGCATTTTAAACCCGCCGCGAAAGTTAAAAAAAGCACCGTAAACCCAACGATTCGGATGTAATGACATCATTGTGTTGTCGAATATTGTGAGCAACCCAGACCGAGACTGTCAAACTGCATGTGGATTCTCGTTTTCAATCAGAACCGTTGTGTTAAATCATTTGATTGAATATATATATATATATATGAGTATGACGCATCGATTATGTGGTACAGCTGCACCAGCAGCAGCGTTGTGCAGTTAACTCGGGTGTCGGTGCATGCAGTTTTTGTTTGCACGGGTAATACGCACAAAAGGCCGGTACATAAACAAAAGAAAACGTTCGAACGCGTGTCGAACCGATTTAATAAATCAACAGACGTTGTCGATTTACATGTATTGTTATATTCAGTATTGTGTCTTTGTGGTTTTACAGACAGAAGAATGACCATGGACGTGAAAGCCAGCCAAGTAGCTGCCAGCACGGCAACGAAATCCAGCGCCAACGTCGGAGCGACCGCTTCGACCGGAGCCCAAGAGTGTGCCGGATGCGGCAAACACATCACCGACAGGTATGTTCGGCTTGTAGTATATGTGATAGGCCAATCAACGCTCATCAGCAATTTCGAAAAGGTCCATCTAAAAAGATCAAGAAGTAGTCGTGGACCAAGGTCCCCCCTGTGCAACGTAGGACATACGAGGAGTCTAAGACCGCATTCCAAAAAGATAGAAAATGAATTCTGATCGATTAATCCTAGTACTTCGAATGGCTCTGGTCAAGATAACCGGGTCTTTTTTTTTTTTAGAGTGGACGTTTAATTCAATTGATATCTAAGTGAGATTTTTTTTGTTTTGTTTCGGCGTTCAAACAGATTCTTGCTGAAAGCCCTGGACCTGTTTTGGCACGAGGACTGTCTGATGTGCGGATGTTGCGGATGCCGTCTGGGCGAGGTGGGATCCACGCTGTACACAAAAGCCAACATGATCCTGTGCAAAAAGGACTACTTCAGGTACCTATTTACTTGCCCGCGTGTGTTGCGTACGATGCTATTACTGATTGACAGGTTTTACAGGATGTTCGGTAATAAAGGCATGTGCGCCGCTTGTTTCAAAGACATACCCGCCTTCGAGATGGTCATGCGGGCTCGGAGCAACGTGTACCATTTGGAATGTTTCGCGTGCCAACAGTGCAATCACAGGTACGTTTTGCTTGTTCAGTTAATGCCGGTTAATGCAAATTAGTAGATTAAAAAAACTCTGACCCGTATCGGACGTCATTGAAGAAGCCGCGGCTTCCAAGTTATTGTGTAATAATATTATGACAACAGCTGCCTTGTTTGATAAACGTTCAAATATTTTGGATTCCTCGACCCCCCGAAGAGAACACCCCATGGTGGAAATGTTTACATAATAATTAATATTATTACGGCGCCGTTTCAAACTGATGATATCATCTGAATGTTAAATATTTAGTAATTAAATTGCTGTGTTCTCAGTCAATTATTTAATATAAAATACGTTGTACCTATGGAATTTCCATTTTTTTTTTTAATGACAGACGCGGTGTACTATAGAGTTTAATAACTACTATATCGAGTTGCAGTTTAATTTGAATAGTAATTAATTAAAAGAAAAACGAGTGTTTACCGTGTTAAAATTATAAATAAAAAAAAATAACACTGTGGAAAACATTTAAACAATATTATATTTCTACTTATTTTCGAGTTCATTGCCAACCCGACATTGGCATTTACACACACAAGAAATGGACATTTTTATTTTATAGTTTCCTCTACAAACTTAAAACGTGGTTTATTCAAGAGTCTTATAAAATCTATTTAAACGTAAAGACGTTAAAATAATAAACAATTTTGAATCAAACGAAAAATTTGAGACAAAAAACTTTTAATAAGATATTGTTTTTAAGCCGAGGGTCAATAATGACAATTTGTGAGATTTTTTGTGTCATGCTAATTTACTAAATTTATTAACTCAATTAATTCACTCATTTACTTGATTTGTTTACTCGTTTACTTCAATTATTTACTAGTTTGCTCGATTTATTTACACGGCCACTCGGTTTACTTGCTCGTTTACTCGATTTGTTCACTGGATTTATTTATTCAATTCACTTAATCGTATACTCATATTGCTTACACAATTTATTAAACCAATTTTTTACTCGATTTATGTATTCGGTTAGCGTAACGCTTTACGCTAAAAAAATGTATTTACTCATTTATTCAGTTGTTTACTCGTTTTGCATGCCACGTTACACTTAATCGATTTCTTATTAATTTACTGGGTTTGATTACTCGATTTATTCACTCATTTACTAGATTTATTTTACTTGTATACTCGATTTGTTTACTCAATTATGTATCTAGTTGTCCGATTTGTTAACTTTATTTGATTACTCGATTTACTCGATTCATTAACTCATTGTCTCGCTTTATTTACATCACTCGATTAACTTACTCAATTGATTTATTTGTATACTCAATTATTTACTCATTTGCTCGATTTATTAGCTCGCTTACTCGATTTTCTCACTGGATTTATTTATTCAATTAATTTATTGATTTATTAAAAAACAATCGCTTCACGCTAAATACACGTATTTACTCGTTTATTGATTTGTTTACTCGGTTTGTGTGACACTAAATCGATTTCTTATTCATTCACTCGGTTTGATTACTTGATTTATTTACTCGTATACTCGATTTATTTACTCGTTTACTAGATTCGTTTACTCAAACGTTTTATTCGTCAACTTGATTTATTAACGAGTTTTGTGTGACGCTTCACGCTAAATGCTCGTCTTATGAATATTTACACGATTCATTTACTCGTTTACTCGCTTTATTTGCACCATCACTCAATTAGTTTACTCGATTTTTTTTATCCATATTTATTTAAAAAAGCATATAAAAAATCAACATCTGCCAAGACACGATAAGTTCATCACCATCATCATGGAAGGCATCATATAAACGGCGAAAGGAGTAGAGTGAAAACAGTAAGAGGAAGACCGCGTAAATCCTTTTTTGAAGGAGGATTTTTTCATTGGACGGGTGTGAACCTCTTACCGACAACTCAAGAAAACGGCGAGAGACAGACGTGAATGGCTACAACGACAAGGCTTGTGAAGGCCTTTAAAAGCTGAATTCCTATTTCCGTTGTCCGTTTAACGGATTATTATAATATTAATCCCGTACGCGGTTTCCCATGCGGATTTAGCCAATTATTATTTGAACACACACGTGCAAGCTCGAGCAGCGTAATATATTATTATTATTATTATTACTATCACAATCAAAACGGCAACATCTGTGTGGCTAATTGACATGTTGTGACGTATTAAAATATAATATCCAATATGTACGCCGCCGGGTGACGTTGTTGTTCGCCACGGTCCCTGACAATATTACCGAGAAAACAATAACTCATATCGGCTCTCCTGTCTGGATTGTGCACAGCGACCGACGTCCCTCTGCTGCTGCTGCTGCGCTGACGATCCCGCCCGAAGGGGTTCGCCGAGGTAAACGCACTTGTATAATAATATAACGTGGGCATTGTCACGGCACCGGCTCTCTCTTTATATTGCCTTTTAGGGCCAGATTAATTAATATACACGCCGGATGCGCCGGCTTCGGGACCGGGAAAAGGGATATATATATATATATATGTATATTATTGGCCGGTCGCTACGTACACACCCCGACTACCGCTACTGCCACTGCCACTGCTACTACACTACAAGGCCGTAAGTCGACCGCGGATTAATTAAATTAAATTTTCAAAATCGGCCAACCCCCCCCCCCCCAATCTTGTCCCTCCCATTTGTTAACCGTTCCTTTTATCGGCGCTCGAACATTCCAACGGCACGACAGTGTACATGCATGTAGGTATTATTATAATATTTCAAAACTGTACAACTACCACTTCCCCCCCCCGCCAAATCTACCCCCATCCAGGGTACTCTCTGCGACAGACGACGGACCTGTCGAAAAAAAAAAAAAACTCCTCTGTATGTATTGCCAAACGATTATCGACTGTAGAGCTCCGGTATCCGAGTTTTGGCTGTCAAACAGTCAAAAAAGCCCATTATTGCGTTTTACAACGCTTTGTACGCGCCATTTATGTACATGAAAACAATGTAACGGTGTAATGTCGACCCTTTTTGTAGTGTGCGCCATATTAATGATGGATGACATATATAATAATGATATAGTATAATTACTCATTGTGTTCATTGTACGTTTACATCAGCTGTACAAAATTGAATACAACAGTTTGGGCGAAACCGACAGCTAAAGTGATACACTTTAAAATATTATTACAATAATAATATTACAACTGATGTGTACAACTTCTGAGATGATGATGATAATAATAACAGTAATATATAAGAGGACGTCGTTACACCCCTGTTTTTTAAGGGGTCCGGTTTGGCACGGTTTTCGGCTAAAGCTAAATTGTATAATATAGTCTTAATAGTGTAAGAGCGTTGGAAAAAAAAATAAAGACGGTCTGACCGATTTCAATTAATGTACAAGATAAGACCAACAAGGGAGGTTAAGAACAAAATTCTGGATTTCACGCGGCCAACTTGGCGTTTTGAAATTTGTATTTCTCTTAACGTTATATCATATTATTATCTCTATTGGGTCTTATCTGAGTGAGTCAAAGTTGTGGAAACTTTTCTATTAATAGTGTTGCTTTATTACCACCGCCGAGAACTCGGGAATAGGGGGGGGGGGTGGATCTAACAAATGTATTGTTTGTGAAAAATGAAGTTTGCGTCGTAAATAACACCTCCCCGGATCCGGGGCCGTGTGTACGCCAAACATCATAATATTAACGAAATCAAAAACTTCCAGCTATAAAACTTTTTTTTTTTTTTTTATATAGTATAGTTTAAGTCGACCAAGAAGGGGGGACGCAGTCGGTTGGCGCGTGTTCTAAAGTACAATAAAAACCGAAGAAATAAACTTTATTCCATCCCACTCCCATAGGTTTTATACGCTATATTAACGGCCAAACTCTCCACCGGGCTATTTTAGCCTTATTCGTGTACAAAAACTACAAATACCTAATATATATGATAACAATATATTATATAGATTGCTACTATAATTTACCAACGGTAGTTACTTACTTTTGCGCGTTTAACACTCCTTTGTTGGCGTGTCGAATAGTGTTTTCAAAAATCTTCTACTTGCCCCGAACAGTTTTCAAACAGAGAAAAATTACTGTTGTCTGTGCAATCGAGCCTGGTGCAATGAGTTTTTCAAATTATTTTTTGCTTCGAGGACGTTCTAAAACTGTTAACGTTGTCTTTAAATAATAATTATACGTATACAAGATTATGTCTTGCCTAAGACTTGCCAAGTCTGCCGACGGTAATTATTTAACAGAATTCTTTTGTTCTGAACCGCTTTCATTGGCTTTAAACGCGGTATTAATTAATAACGAAACCGATTAAGGAATTTTTCCCGGCAAAAATAATAGTAAAAAGAAAAATACAATATATATTATAAGTCCCACGCCACGACGTCATTAATCAGAAACTCATTTTTTACTTCCCTCATACTTAACGCGCGCGACGCTATATCGTTCAACTCTCCCTTCTAAATTTCCGTCGATAACACTGTTATTTACGGACCATTTTTTTTTTTTTTTAGATAGCTAAGATGTTTGTTTCGAGGAGGGGGGTAAAGGGTAAAGGGACGGGTATCATCATAACATTGAAAAATAAGAACAAAATTACTAGGTCTGATAATAGTCTTGCGAATGTAGTATGAACACAATATTATCTTATTTCACAATTTATCCTACGCGGTTTATTGGACCGTTGTTACTTATATTTCGAATGTAGCTTTTGAGCTTCCCTGGAAGGAACGAGACGTCGTGTCTTATGGTCAGCTGATTTCCTGCCTCTCGTCGGTTACCCAGGAACTATCCAGGATCACATCCATACTCAACTGTCAACGGTCCCTCAACCATGAGATACATTTATATTCAAGAAGTTATGTTCCCTTAACACGCTCCCTGCCTGACGGACATGTGCGGTCCGTCCGGGAAGGGTCAGTTTGCCGGGGGAAGGAGCGAGGGATGATGGAATAAATCCAATACTACTACTACTACATACTGTATTATATATTATACCGAAGAACATATTATTATTACTGTTGTT